AGTTGTACACTTGTTATTAATGAAGATAGTCCCATTAGTTGGTGGCTTTGGACAAAGTCTCGTAGTACATAAATCATACACAAATCATTTTTTTAGTACCATATATAAAGTTATTAATCCATCTATTTCAAAATTTTCTTGGAAAACACATAGTTAAGTTGCGTAATTTTGACTTCACGAAAAAAAAAATATCGTACTCGGCTACTAAAATTTCTCTCTCGTTCAGACATGATTTGACTGTCATACGATGTATTTCACCTCATCAAAAATTATAAATGAAATTTTAATTTCATTTTCAAATTATCACCTCAAAATATATTTCCGGAAAATAAATTAGAAATAACCCCAAAAAAACATTAACATTTAGATTCTTCAAGAAAACCCTAGTCCTAGTAAGTAGTACCTAACCGTTTGAATTTCAGTCGTAGGGTACAGTTGTAATTATACATTCAAACAAGTCAACTCTCCATATACTCGAATGCAGTCAAATAATCCACGTAGGTATATAAAAACTCTACCACCCTAGATGCTGTGCGAGAATTAATAATTAGTTAATAAAATTTCATATTTTTTCTTGGTAAACTTAGAGCAATCTGCCAACGTCATCACTATTTTTTCACCAAATCTTATTTTTGGTGGTGAAAAAATGGGTTTATCTCCCACTCTTAGCATATCATTCTACGATTTCACTATTTTTGGTAAAAAGATAGTGTATTTAGTCTCCTACCAATTCCATCAAATTTACACCAAATAATAAAATAATAATATTTCACCATTTTCCTATTTATAGAGAATAACATTTGGTTTGGTCTCCCATGGTATTTTACCAAATATATCATAAAATTATAAATTTAATGTTAATCATAATTTTAGCCGGTTTTAATTTAAAAAATATTGATTATAAATCCGATTATAAGTAAAAAAATTATTAATTATATAATATAAAAATTGTGATAAATTTCAAAAAAACTATTGAAACATGAATGAAAATCAACGTAAATTATTATACATATAATAAAATCACACATAAACATAATTTCATAACTTAATGCATAAAAATATTACAACAAAATTAATAAAAATGATTTCATAACTTAATGCTAACTAAGTAGTTTATGTGTCTTTTATTTATATAATTTGTCTTGTAATTTTTTTGTGACGTTATAATGTTATGTTTTAATTGTTTTTTGATAATAAATATATTTATTGTTTAAACATATAACTTATTAGAGCCAAACATATATTTATTTATTTAATAATAATAATAATAATAATAATAATAATAATAATAATAATAATAATTGTTATTATTATTATTATTATTATTATTATTATTATTATTATTATTATTATTATTATTATTATTATTATTTTCTATTAATATACTAATATATTTTCTATAAATATATTTATATACATACTAATATACTAATATATTTATATATTATCATATTCATTAACTAACACTAATATATTTTCTATAAATATGTTTATAAATTGGTAATCACATAAAATTAGCTAATATAATAATTTATATGCTAATTATAAAATGGTGTTAATTACACCAATCCTATTTTAATTTCTATATTTGATAGGAAAAATAGGATTTGGTGAAAAAAATGGTAAAATGGTGGAAGGATGGGAGATGCAAATTTCTTCACCAAAAAATTTGGTGAAAATATAGGATTTGGTAATATGGTGATATAGGTTTTGACCACAATGGGAGACTAAAACCAAATTATCATAATTTTAGGTGTAATGGCGATTTAGTGATTTGGACTGGGAGGTTAAAAACACATAAATTAGATGTAAGAAATAGGAAATGGTGTAGGGTGGAAGATGCCCTTAGGAGTGCTGCTCTACACATATTTGTTAATTATAAATTTAATTTTTATTACAACTAAATATCTATTCTTAGGATTAAACATTAGTTCAAAAACTATGGAATTAATAATGGGGTTAAATTAATTCAGTTGTAACAAAAAGTAATTGACGTATGAATTAGTAATAAGATGGCTCCAAAATATTTGTTGAAAAAAAGAAACAGTCACACAGTAGATATGCAGAAAGACAAAAACTGTTGGGAGATTGAGGAAAAACATTACTGTTCATGGGAGTTTCCCAAAGCATCATCAATTAAATAATAATATTTATTTTATTATTTACTATAATAATAATATATTCATTGGGAAATTACACTATCTAATTAAAACTGCTGCTGCATTTATACATATATACGCTCTTTTGCACGGAAAATATTGATTTTTTATTTATAATATATTTATTTAAATTGTGTCCAAAAAAGAACATCATCATGAAACCTACGGGTATCAATGCCTGAGAGCATAATAAAAAAATCAATAAAGACAACTAATTTTTTTTTTATTACTATATACCTCAAGAAATGTGTAATCCCAAAGGCATGTCTTATCAGATTAATCATTTATGATTTTCTTTATTTTTTTCTTGGTCAAAACGAAGTTAATACAGACACAAAAAAAAAAAATTATATATATATATATATATATATAGAGATAGAGATAGAGATAGAGATAGATACACATGCATGTATGTAGATGAATTTTTAAGGGGAGTGAAGATGCATGCCTGTTCTAAGTTTTGTCCTGGTCTGTAGGCACACATAGGATTGTGTGTCTGTATGGCTACTTGTTTCCAATTGCTTCTCTCTAGGGTTTGCTATATACTATGCTTGTTCATTATTAATTTCTTTTAATATATATATACTCAGCAATTCTATCTCTTTGGTTTTTGTTCACTTCTCTCTAATTAAGGCCGCCGGTTCATGAGGTTTTTCAGGGACTTAATTAGTAATGACAACCTTAATTAGAAACTGAATCAAATTAGTAGGTATCAATTGTCCTAAAATCAGTCGGTGTTAGGAGAAACCAAACTCTAACCTTACAGCGCATTCGTCACATACAAACGTATACATCATTCGACTATGTCCCACTCGTACTTAGGCTTTCGTTACATTGATAATTACCGTTAAATCCAGACTAACATATGTATAATATATATGTATTATATTATACTATATTAATATATATATCCCCTAGCTAGTAATGTAGCATTATAGTGAAGCTATTCTAATAGTATCATAATTTTTGTGTAGAAAGCTAATTAAGAGATACCACCACTTGCATCACATGATTATTCTATAAAGCCAATTGCCCAACTTTGAGCTCTACTCCCAAAAGTTAGCATCTTTCCCTTCAAATTCCATTTTCTAAAGCTAATTTTTCCCCACCCCTATGTATATATTGAAAGGAGATATTTTGAGACAAAAAATTGCAATAATTATATAATTAACAGAAAATTGCAATAATTATCTAATTAACTTTATACCGAATATATATATCTACAAGACCTGAAAATTGGGGGCACAAGTTATTAATATAGTAGCAAGAAGTAGCATGTGGTATATATATAGTGCACATTTACCACTTAATTCTCACTTTCAAATGTGAAAAGGTAGTGGTCCAGCTATTTTAGGGCAATCTTTTCTTCATTTTGGCTGTCTATTTGACAAACTGCATTGATGCATATGTTTCTTGAATTTAACCCCCTAGATTTCTCTCACTCCCCACATGGCATGCACGTGACCACAAGAAAATTAGTTAACCTATCTTTTTTTTCCTGTATTTAACTAATCTTAATTAAAATATAGTTCCAAGGCTAACCTGGATTATATCAAGCCTGGAGAATGAGGCTGATAAGGTTTGACCCCTTTTGGATCAAATTCCAAAGGGTTTGTTAGAAAAAGTAGTCATTTATTTTTTGGTTGGAATTTGGGCACCACTCATGGATATACTTCACAATTAATTACTCCTTAATTAATTAATTAATTAACAAGCCCAAAACCCTAGATTCTATTAAAAAAATAATGAAATTCTTGCCTCAATGAATTAGTGGTATACATTGGAAGATGTGATTAAGTTTATATCAAGGTTTGTTGGGTTGGCAACCTAAAGATGACAAAAAGCTTGGTCATGCAAAAGTGAGATTGGAAAAGAAACCATAGATTAATCAAACTGTATTAGAATAATCAAACGTAAGATGCTTCCAACCTTAAATTTAATTATATGTCATTTTAGTCATTGATCTTGACTAGTAACATACCTTTGTTCCTTTTGTACTTTTTTTTTTTTCCGGACTAAGTAAACCTACACTCTCGCATAATAACATGCAAATTATACGAGAGACGGAAATTACACTAGGCTAACCATGTGTAACAATCTCGATCTAGCGACCGCTGGCAAGGGATCCAAACCTAAATTAACTAACATAGCCTCAGTTGCTCGAACAGCTAGGTCACCCGTTGCGGAACCTTATGTACTTTTGATGAACCATTCAACCAATCTCTCTTAATACTTTGTTGAGTTTTACTTTCTTTAAAAAAAAAAATAACACGAAAAAGGGAAGGAAAAAAAAAAAGATTTTACTTTTTCGTTTTCTTTTATTGCACTATTAAAAATATTTTTAAACTTGAGGGTAATTAATAGAGAGTGCATGGCTCGAGGGGGAAGGGCTACAACTGTCATTTTACAAAGTTGGGAGCTCAAAACTTTTCCTAGTTTGTAGGATTATTTTTTAGCAAGAAAATTAAATAAATAGGAAAATGAGGCAAACATGTATACATGGAGAAACGAACCCAAAGACCAAAGTTGGGTTTCATGGTCTTCAAAACCCAACACCCCGGATTATTCAAAGGCTATGTGACATACTCACATGCACATGGATTAAAATATGTATGAGGATTGATTAGTTAAATGATTAATATGTTCACATATCTATGTAACATTAAACTATTAATTAGTTAATTAGATGCGATTATCGAATATTCGCACGCACTAGATGAGAAGGATTATTATACTAATTGCATTCGTTAATCGCATGTGAGAAGATCTTGGGATTGAGTCTCACTGCACGAGCTCGAGCTCATTAGGGACAAAACTTATCTTACCCACCCCCAAAGGAAATTAGTACTAACAGATAATTAAGTTTAATCGTCGTACAAAATGCAAATCGTCTTAATAGAATTAATAAGATTTGAGTATGAATGTATAATGATTATACACTATTTCATTTCATGTTTGGAATTTACTGTTATGAAATAAAGTATTGCAATCTGGCATTTTTTGGCAATACAGATTATCTAGGGCAGTTAATAAAGTACCTCGGTATAAATTCCGCGGCCCATCCAACACTTTTTATGTCTCGCCAAATTTAACTGCGTTAGAAAAAAAAAAAAAGGTTAAAAAATAAATAAAATAACATGTCACAGGATGCATCTCAAATGCAAATTCAAGCCACTGGGTATATTACCTTCCTAGTCGACCGGTCTCCAATCGAAACCGATCGTAAATTCTTTCAAGGCTTGAATCTCTGAACTCAGAAATCAGAATTTCTAGAAAAAAAGGCAGACATAAGAGAGGGGTTAATCAACAGTCAACCGTCACTTTGACAAGTCAAATAATTAAAACTGCAGTTAAGAGTCGATTAATAAAGGATTAGGAGAATTAATGCACAACTACATTAATAATCAAGAACTAGAAATGAGAAATTGGATCGATTTACTAAATCAAGAACGGAAAATGTCAATTACTTGTTCCGATCGTTTGGCTGAGGAAGATGCTTTGCAGATTTCAAACTCATTGCAGCAGCAAAAAGAGTAGTGATTGTTCAATTATAATCAGTTATACAGCTCATTCTTGTTTGAGTTCATCTTGTCCAGTAATATAGTCCTGATATGGCTTATAGCTTCTTTGAAAATCCAAGTCCCGTTTCTTCAACTCTCTGAATATCTCCGCTTCCTTCTCCCCAAATTCTATACCGATTTCATCAAACTTCAATTCTATCGGACACCCCACATCAAATATCTCTTGAACCGTCATGTCTGCACTAATTTCAGACGCAACTTCTTGGCTTCTCCTAAAAACATGGCTCGAAAACATGTAATCTGATCGAGGTTTCTGCATGCTTGCATCCGACGGACTTTCCAAGAAAGACGATGGTTTATGACAAGAAAATTTCAATTTTTCAGTCACGGGGCTCATATCTTCAGTATCATCTGCAAGAGAAACGAAATCTTCATCCGGCGATTTTGCATCCGCACCAGAAAATTGCTCCTTAACAACTTGTACGACTTTGTCACATTGATCTTTCAACTGAGCTTGAACTGAGTATTCTTTTGATAGGTCCCTTTCCTCTTTAAGCTCTTCCAAGCAAACGTTATGAAGGGTAGCCAAGAAAACAGGAGGAAGCACTGGACCTACAAGGGAATCGGATCGCTTAACTTTACTCGACCATTTATTGCTTCGGTGAGATGGCTTTCTTAAAGAAAATGGCGGGCCGTGGATTTGCTCGGGAATTTCGAGAAACTCGAGAGGTTCCATGTGATTTTCAAGATCCTCGTTAAAATCCGTGTAAGTCGAAAAAGCCAATTTCAATAGACTTGTAGGCAGAACGGAACACATACTCCTTAAAGCAATCTCGTGTATGCTAGTCGGCAAGTGAATATCTTTCAACACAGCAGAAACTTCACAAGACGATTGCTCTCTTTGAAGCCCAAACGCTTTCAGTCTATGACATATCTCTTCATGAAAATTGGAATCCGCTTTATACTTTTTCTGGGCATTTTCATCACTGGCTGCTCCTGTCACTCTTCTTTGGGCGACGTAGTTAGCCAGATTACCTTCTAAGAAGGCATTAAGAAAATCCAACTTCAGATGCTGAAATTTCTTTGCCCCAACATAGTCTGAAGGGTTGCAGTCGAACAAAAGATTGTCCTGTAAATAACACTTTTTCCTTTTGTGGCCTGCTTCTGTAATATTCTTGGATTCATACGCGGCGAAGTACTGTTGCATTTCTAGCTTCCCCGATGAAGTTAGCCTGATTAAAATAAACCCACCAAACTTATCGAATGAACACAATTGTGCAGAAAGAGAAGGACTCAAAATACTAAACCCCAAATTTAAGTGTTTTTTCTGCCGCCAGTCAATCCAAGCAGGCTGAGATGCTTTCAGAAACTCCTCTCTCACAAGACAACTACCACATTTACAATCCGAGCCCGACAATGAAAACTCTGAAGGAAGTCCCCACGCATAACACAAGTTGCAGAACTTCGAAATTTCAGAAGAGACAGATTTATTATCACTTCTGCAATCAGGGCCATAGCAGAAAAGACTGAACTGGCTGTCCCAAAACGATCCCAATACAACACAGTAACCTGATTCCAAAGCTAACTTGTATGTATTGTCTGCATTTGCTCTCAACTCTGACAACCTAAAGACAGTCAAATACCGTGGATTTCGAATGTCATGAGCCCAGCGCAATATTGGCGCCAATGGTTTTCGCACATCAAAAAGAAGTAGCAAGTATCTTGTAGAAACAGTGAAGGTGAATCCATCTGAACCTGCCCTTGAGAGTGCGCAAAATTCATCGTTCTTGCCCATAGACAACGTCTCAAGCTTTAACAAACAACTGATATTATGCACTGAAGACCTCAAATCGACCAAGAAGACCCCATCGCTATGAGAGGCAATAAATATCCTAGGATGCCAACTAAACTCACATTCAAACCAACACCGGCCGTCGTTACCACTTTCCTCTTTCTCTAATCCCGACTCGTTAGTCAAAGAAACTTGCATTATCTTCTTAACAACGTTATTGTTGTTTCTAACCAAAGAAATTGACTCAGCCTTTTCCCCATAATAATAACTAACATCAAACAACAGTAAGTCACCATTGTCCAACAAAACCAAGCATTCTTCCCTCAAATGCGGACTCCAACATGCGCCGGCCACTCGATTGCCCCTTAACATCTTAATGTTAGCACAGCCCAGATAATCCACACAAACAGAATATTCATCTTGTCCACGAAGAGTAGTGATTCCAACTTTATACCAGCAAACTGAATAACTAGTACATACCATCAAAAAACCAGCAGTAACAGCATTATCGTGTTTGTTATTATCTCCATTCACATCACCACAAAAATCATCAACCGGGTTCACCAACAAACGGGTGATTCGATGATGATTCAGACTACCCTCTTTCACCAGCTCGAATATATTTCCCCCCTGCGAACGAACATTTAAATTGCCTTCTTTCAGGGAAAGTAAAGAAAACCCGACATGATCAGAATTCTCCCCAGTTGGAAAAAACACGACAATCAAGTTTTTCGTTGGGATTTGAAGCAACTGGAGAGAGTTAAAGCCATGAAAGTAAGAAGAATAATTTGGGAGCTGGTGGCCGAGAGAAGTAATAGCAGCGGCAGAGGAAGGAACAGAATTGTAATTTTGCAGGAACCGAGAAAGAGGGAGTTGTGGATATGGTGGCGGAAGCTGGGGTGACAGGGAGGGAGAGTTGAGTAGAGTGGTGGAGGAGTTGGGCTTTGCCTTAAATATTAGTGGACCAAAGGATGTCTCGGTGATTTTATTCGGGATAAGCAGTGGTGCAGAGAAGGTGGAGGAAATAGGCCAAAGGGATTTCCAATCAGCCGTTAGGTCCATTTATTTTCCCGCGGCGGTGGCGGCAAGCTATAAGGTATCCAGATTGCAGAGTGCGAGACAGCAGTACTTCTAAACCTACCAAACAACAAAATTGCAAATACGTTACAAACCGCATAGCAGAGAACAACATTTCAGTATTACCACAACCAAAATGAATATCTCACTTGCTAGGAGTTAGGAAATATATATTTGCAGAGGATCAAAATTTTGCCGGGAAATTATATGTTTAAGAGAAAGCTCAAATTATCTTCTAATGCAGGGGTAAATGTACTGAAACAGAAATGTAGATAATATTTAGGGGCATGTGGTAAATTTCTGTAAGAATAATTTCTAAGTTTTCAAGTATACAGCCGATAACACGAAAGGGGGAAAATAATGAACATCAAAATCGAAGCTCGCAGGGTAAAAATTCAATATCTATAACCTCCACCGTATATGAGTGCCGCAATCAGCTGATAGCATCTGAGATAAATTGCGGGCATAAGCAGAAACATGTGGTTTATGTGTTCGTGTAGAAACAGCAGAATTATTTGGGCAAATTAGCAGTTTTCAGACATGAAAGAAGGAAAATCTACTAACCTTTGGTCTGGGGAAGAAGAGAAAGTTGAAGGACTCGGCGAATTCGACGGTAAATTCGTCGTCGGCAGTGACGGTGGATACGGCGGAGACGGAGACGGTGACGGTGGGTACGGCGGAGGGATGGAATAAAGAGGGGTTATTTTGCGGTGGGAGGTAATTAGGGCGTCGAATTTAGATTGTTTTTTTAGGCCTTTTTTTATTTTTAATTTTGGATTATTAAAAAGATTACTGTATTTGCATAATAATTAATGGATTTGTTTTTTAAGTGATTTTAATTTCGATTTTGTAAAATGGACTTTTATTGGTTCTATTATCTATTTACTAATAAAATAAAATCAATTATTCAATTTAAAGAAAAAAAAAATTATATTTACTAAATACTATATAATTCGAGAGAAAATGAGAAAAAAATCCATAAATTCGAGAGGAAATTAAGCAATTTAAAGAGAACAATCATCGGATAACTAAATCAACCATACATTCAAGAGAAAACGAGAAAATCACAAAATACGTGAATATTAACTCGAATGATAAATACATTATTTATATTATTTTGATTAATTTAATTACGGTAGGTCCAGGTATAAATTAAAGAAACCCCATAAGTAACTGAAATTTCATATGTTGGGCCTATGTTTGAAATTGGACCCCGTATCTTTAATTATGAACTTGATGCACTTGGCCCAAAATATTATATTAAATATATATTATATGTATATTTATTCTGGTTTATTAGGTATATAGTTAGGTGTCCAGCCTATCATTTAAGAGAAACCTGTCAATTTAACTGCTATTTGATACAAAGAGACTGAGAATCTATGCTGATTACGACCACACAGTTAGCCTTAGATTGTGACCTATCATATATATATATATATATATATATATAATGAAGCTGAGAGAGAGAGAGGGTTGCAGCATATATTTATGGATGTCTGTTTTTATAACTAAGAAAAATGGAAATACAAGAAGAATTATACCCGAGAAAGTTGTGGTTGATTAAATCGGAATATCGGAATTCCAAAAATTCTTTAACGAATACCAAATTGAAATTTTGGTTCAGCACTTGGCACTAACTGAATTTTCGTTTCGATCAGCTTATCGGCCGAGTGAACACCCCGATAATTTGGCTATAGAGAAAAGACTGATAATTAAGTGTTGGTGGATTCCCTCATCATTACAACATTATCACAAAAAATGCCCCTTTTCCTAAATACTACTTTAATTTGCCTGTTGATTTTAATTTTTCCCTCCCAAAAAATATTTTTTTTCTTATTAATATATTTAAAGATACAGACATTATCATTGTCGTTTGAAAATCTGTCTCCATGAAAATAATTTCTTCATGCAAACATCTCATGCAAATTAATAACCCGCACGAATATATCAAGGGCCCCCCAAATCATCATTAGTGAAGCAGAATTATCACTTAATTTTCTTCTAATTATTATTAATTAACAGATAATAATTTGGTGGAGCAAAAAAATTCAAACCAGGGTAATTAACCTTATAATTATTTTCTTTAAACCAAGGTATTCATTTTAATTAGGGTTAACTAAACATAATTATTTAATTATTAATGACATACATCTATAAAATCTCAAACATTATGATATTCAATTAGGCCACTGACCGACAAAGAAATAAGAAATATTTTGGTGGGAAATAAGCAAATGTAGAGAGAGAGAGAGAGAGAGAGAGAGAGAGAGAGAGAGAGAGATGGTACAGAAAAGCTGTACTGCATGAAGTGAGTGGGGATGGGGCTATATATCTAAAACTTCTGGCCCTTCAAATCTATCAAAGCCCTGCAAAATTTATTTAAAAGCACTCTGTTTTTGCTTTTATTTAATTTTAATTTTAATTTATTACATACACTACTGTTTACTAATATCTCTGACACTCTGATCACTTCCATTTTATGCCATATTACATTTAACTCCCTTTCATTCAATTTTATGCTCACCATTCTGAATATTATTCCTAACCATCCCATATATCTGATTAATAAATAAAAAATAAAAAATAAAAAATATCATGATTATTTGTTAAATAATAATTATTAATAAATAATCCTGATCAACACAATATTAATTAAATACAATCTTGTTTCCATCATTGATATTTATTAATCATAAAATTACAGTTTATTTCTGATGAAGAATGAAGAACATTTTGATAAGGATTAAATACTATAGTCAAACAATGCACAAGACAAAAATACTATATATATACAGTACAATAAATGAATGTTGAGGGGACAGACTGTTCAAATTTACTACGGAGGTTGAGGTACAGAGAAATTAAATATATAATGAAACAATTTTCGGATTGAAATAAAATAAATATTTGAAGTTCTGTTTGTTGGGGTTTAAGTAAAAGGGTTTAAGAATTCAGCAAAAGGAATTGTTTGGGAAAGAAATAAAAATTAAAAGAAAAAAGTATAGCTCTTTCTTTTATGGATAAATTACGGCCAACCCCAGGCTGATGTAAGATTAAATTACAAAAAAATCCACATGTTTGGGTAAGTACACCTATTCTTTAATTATGATTTTTCTTACACGTTCACCCTTATAGTCCCAAATTTCAACAAAATTTTCTAGATTTTCTTTGAATATTCTCTAGTTTGTACTCGTTTTATGCAAAAATGCAGTTTATAATGCACTACAATCTGATATTTATTTACAAGCAAAAAAACACATCTTATGATTATCTTGTTTCACAATGTGGAGATCGAATGGAGTAAAACAGGAGAATATTCCACATAACCTAGAAGATTCCACTAAATTTATCACCATAAGAATGGACGTGTAAAAATTTCATAGTAAAGAGAGATGATTGTAATTACTCAAACATGAGAGTTTTTTTCGTAATTTGATGGCATAGTACATATAAATAGATTATATACATACATACCTCTAAAATATAAATACACACAGATCCCTATAAGGCAGGGAGGGAATGCTACCCATTTCCCAGCATATATGTTGCTCAATGAAATCCATTCTCTTTGTTCACCATATTTAATAATAAATAAATAAAAAACTGAACAAAGAGTTACTGTAATAATAGAAGATGATGTCCATGAAAGACGATAACAACACCAACTGGTTAGGGTTTAATGGCGATTTCATCTCTCCCCTCTCCATACTTCCTCTCAACTCACAAGGTATTTTAACTTTAATTATAACCCTACCCTTGTATTTTTATTTTTATTTATTTTAGTTTCTGTGTTGTTTCTTTGTCGAAGCTGGTTCTTCCCCCAAGCTGGAAGACTTCTTAGGAATCACAACAATGGCGGCAGCTACTCACCACCATGAAAGCGCGTCGTTTTACGACCAAGAACAATTCAGACAACACCATTATTATAATAATAATAATAATTCTGGGCCAAACGAGAGTAGTACGGGATTCAACTACACACAGATCCCAACAATATTAACCGAGGCAGTTGAGTTTCCATGCTTGAAAACATGGATAGATGATAACTCAACCATGGTTGAAGATTACACCAACAGCAACAAGGGTTCTGGTGGTGCTGTAAATAATGTAATGGGGTGTGGTGATGAGTTACAGTCGTTGACTTTGTCAATGAGCCCTGGCTATTCTCAGTCAAGCTGTGTTACTGCACAAATCTCACACACAAACACCTCCCACTGTGTGTCCATGTCCAATGATGAAATTGCTACTAAGAAAGTTTCTCAGAAAAAAACTGTTCATCGGAAATCTATCGACACTTTCGGACAGAGAACTTCTCAGTATAGAGGTGTAACTAGGTCAGTTGGTTGTTTGTTTTTATTTAAAGATTTGGTTTTTATTTTAAAGATTCGATTTTTATTTAAAGATTTGATTTTTATATACTTGTGATTGTTGTTCAGGCATCGTTGGACAGGTAGATATGAAGCTCACTTATGGGATAATACTTGCAAGAAAGAGGGCCAGACTAGAAAAGGAAGACAAGGTTATTACACAATAATAAAACTTTATTTTTTCTGGAATTAATTAATTCATTCTTGAATTTCTAATGTTTTGTTTTACCTTGCTTTTTTTGTCTTGATGTGCGGCTCCCATCGAAAAATCAACTTGATACATTCAGTTTATCTTGGTAAGAATTTAATCTACTTGTAGTAATAATGAAAATTAATTAGTGTTAATTTTGTGATTTATAATTAATTAATTAATTAATTAATTAATTAATTACCATTGGTATTACAATAATGATGTTGTAGGAGGATATGATATGGAAGAGAAAGCTGCTAGAGCTTATGATCTTGCTGCCATCAAATACTGGGGCCCGTCGACACATATCAACTTTCCGGTATATATATTGTCGATTTTTGCATCTCTTTCGTGTAATAAAATAAATAAAATCTCGAGTTTTTTTCAATGTAAACTGTTTTTTTGCAGGTGGAAAACTACCATCAAGAACTTCTGACAATGAAGAACATGAGCCGACAAGAATTCGTCGCTCACTTACGAAGGTGAACTTAATAAGCAAAGAAAAGCTGATGTGTATATATACATCGAATCGAATGTTAACTCCGATTTTTCCCCCACAAATTTTAGGAGGAGTAGTGGATTTTCAAGAGGTGCTTCAATTTACAGAGGTGTCACAAGGTAATACAAACTTAATTAAATCTCGTCGAAGATCATGTTAATTAAATTTTAATTCGTACTAATAGTTTGCGTTATTCGTAATTAATTATAACAGGCATCATCAGCATGGAAGATGGCAAGCTAGAATCGGCCGTGTTGCGGGCAACAAGGACCTCTATCTCGGAACTTTCAGTAAGTTGCATATTAATTGAAAAATTATTACAGTTTGATTTCCCAGTAATGTAATATTTATTTTATTTATTTTTATTTTCGAATTTTAGGCACACAAGAGGAAGCGGCCGAAGCGTACGATGTAGCTGCAATAAAATTCCGTGGGGTAAACGCAGTTACTAACTTCGACATATCCCGATACGCGGTTGAGAAAATCATGGAGAGCAACACTCTGCCAGCTGGCGCGATAGCGAGGCGTAACAACGAGAAGGTTGTGGAGACTAATACCGATCAAGAGATGATTAGTATAATTAGTACGCCACATGATCCGAGAAGTGAGGTTTGTGCTAATCAAGATCACGAGTATAATTACCAAAACGCGATGGTGATTAGCAATAATAATTCTCCCATGACATCGTCTTTGGTTACGAGCTTGAGCAGCAGCTCGAGGGAAGCTAGCCCGGTTCAAAACGGCGGGCCCCACAAGCCCCCGAGTAGTAATGTGAATCCATGGTTTAGTAATAATCCATCCGATCTTCAATTGAGGGCTTTTTCACTCGGGGAGAATTGCTTGCCTATTTTCGGTTCTTGGATCGAGTAACTTTCGTGTTTTTTCTTTTTTTTTGCATGGACTTAAAAAGCTAAGAAAGTAGAACTTTTTTTGTGCAATTTTCAAATCAAGATTATGCAAAATGGAGGGAATGAAATTTGAGAGAGGTCTCTCTCTCTCATATGATTATTAATAGTTGAATCTGCTTTATCTTCCAATAATGCAAAAAGGATGAATGCTTTGACTACCAAAAATCAAGATTTCCCACCTAAAATAAATTCAAAGTAATGCAATCATAATTCCAAAAGGGAGTGGAAATAAAAGAGATTCTTTGTTCATGTTTTGTAGTAGGAAAGCTTTTTGATTTGTGGGGTTTCATATATCTCTCTCTCTCTCTCCCTTAATTTATGCAGCACTTGTGTTTCATATTTTCTCAAAAAAAAAAATTAAAATAAATAAATAATTTTCCCTCCACTAGTTGCAATATTGGACTATAAAGTAAGTTTGTGTCCTGATATGACACTTTCACCAAGTATAATAATTATTTCGGTGGTGTTTGTAGATGTTTTCCTAAAAAAATTAAATAAAATTGGCGATTGAGGGTAAAATTTAAAATAATATTGTTTAGTTTGAAAAGTTTGAGTTATTGCAAATACGCTGAAAAAAGTAAGCTTTTTAATTAAACTCACTTTTAAGTTGGTTCGGTGAGTGGGTGAGCTTTGTGTGCTTAAATAAATTAAGAAAAAGAATCATATCCATTATCTGATTATAGGAAGTAACTGTATCGATGAGAACAGAATATTAGTTGTAGATCAATTATTGAGTTATTGATAATCTCAAATTGGGATTTTTTGTGCATTATTATTTGGGGAGAGAGTAATGAATTGATGCCAGAAAAGCTGGAGAAAAACTTTTACATTTATTTATTAGGACTTTGTGGTTTATGTAATTGATGTGCCTAATTCTTAATTGGGTTTTTGGCCTAAAAGGCCAAATCAATCCAATTAATAATAAAAGCCCAATTATCACATCTACTAAAATTCAATAGGATTTTAGTTATAACATATTGTCCCACATCGGATTTCTACAAGAAGTCTCCATATTTCATCACCTATAAATATGTGATTTAACTCATATAATAAGGTAAGCACTATTTAGGCAATTAACTAATATTATTTGCTTATATTGTGATAGTTTGCTAATCTTGAATGCAGAGGACAATCGCCGGGCCACCCCCGGCGTGTCACCTAGTGTTTTCAACTGTTTTGTAGGTTAACGAGTGGAGCGATCCCTTCGACTACCTCGGACGCGTGGCAAGGACTCTCGGCATTCCCGATATTGGGCTTGAAGATTCCCGGACTTAGAAGATCTGTGGGCTTCAAGACCATTGGGCTGACCCATCATTTTTGGAGCAGCATCATTTTGGCGCCGTCTGTGGGAAGGCAAACTAGATCACGTGTCATGACGAAGAGGATCAAGGCGATCCCAACCACTCGCCTCGAAGAGCGGAGGAGTCTTAGGGCCGCCTCGATGAAGCGACGGAGTCTCGGAGCCGCCCCGAAGAGCGGAAGAGTCTTAGAGCCGCCTCGAGGAAGCGACGGAGTCTCAGAGCCGCCCCGAAGAGCGGAAGAGTCTTAGAGCCGCCCGCCTCGAGGAAGCGACGAAGTTTCAGAGCCGCCCCGAAGAGCGGAAGAGTCTTAGAGCCGCCCGCCTCGAGGAAGCAACGGAGTCTCAGATCCGCCCCGAAG